TATGTAGGCTAGTAATGATTACTTTGTGGGTTTGATTGGTCTAAAAAGCGGCAACATACAGCTATAAGGACAGTTTGCTCTCACAAGTTCTACATTTATAGTCACACAACACACACACACCGGAACTTGGCGCGCCCCACCTGTCACGTCTCAATTCCCCACCAGTGGGTCGCGCCACACACTTTGAGAACCGCGGGGTTAGGGCCTCAATACTGCACTATAATGCAGGTATATGTATTGGTGAGTACTGACAAATAGGGCACCGATAACCATTTTGAGAGCCAAAAGTTTATTCAACTATCGTCACCCATTCCAGGTAGGCAATAAAAAGATCTACTGGATTCGCTTTTTTCCTGCTTCACAAAGGTAGGCAGCACATGACAAAGCCATGATGCAGTTCTTCATATATACACACACACATCCATTTCCAACAGATCAGGGCTTGATGTTAACCATTGCCCGATCGCCCGGGGCAAGTAGTTTCTATTGTCAGGAGAATACAAATTTCATTGCATTTGCCCACCGAGCAAGTGCAATGATCGCAAAAAAAAATTATTTATCTCTCAAAATTACTCTAAAATCACCTACAAAAATTATTTATCACTCAAAATTACTTTAAACTCACCGACATTCGCTGAAAACGACCCACAAGCGTAACCAGCGCCATTTTTGTTGTTTTGTACACATTCTCATGTGATTTGAAAAAGCTGCGTGATTTTCCGCTAGATGGTGTGATTCAGCTCTTGGTGAGAGAAATCTGCAGAGCAGCAGCTGAATGATGAATTTAATCTATACTATAATACACGCTAGATTAAAAATGATCAGTCAGGGTTTAGGAAAATAATAGTAATAATTGTATGCGCACAGTGTAAATATTTCTATCATATGGCAGTCCTCTGTACAGTGGTCATACATTAAAAAATGTTCATAAAATTTTTTTCTCTTAGACATTGGAGTGGTGCATTTAAATATTATAGAGCTAAACATGTTAAATTGTTTTTTTAAAGTTTTAGATTTTTAAAATTACAATTTATATTTTTCCAAGCACACAACAGTTTAAAGAAAAGTTTAGTTTGAAAAGAATGTG